GTAGAGAAGCCTGATATCGGAAGTGACGTCAAAACCGCGACCCAGAGCCTGGATTGAGTTGGAGAGCGTGGTGGTCAGCGCGGCAGAGCTGGAGCTTCTCGCCGCCGCAGCAGAGGATTCCATAGGAAATGAAGGGTCTTTGTCTTTCATTGGCGAAGAGAAAGAAGAGAAAAAGAAATCGATGGCGTTGTTGGTGTTTTCGAGTTGGACGGGGGAATCATTCGAAATACAAAAGTGCTTAAAAAAAAGTGCTTTCTGTTTTGGTGTTTTGCAGTGGCTGGCTGGCTTTTTAGGCCAACGAGAGAGAGTGGGGATTTTGCCTTCTTCTTCTTTGTACCAAAGAGCCGAATGAAGGAGGGCAGCTCTTGCCGTTGACTGTAAAAAAGGCCTCAAATCGCGTGTAAAATGTGTGTATTGTATGGAACTACACAAACTAAAAGAGGATTCTCAGTTGAGTGGTCTTCCTTGTAAAAGGATTTTGAAGTCAAACGCCTACCAAAAAATCAGACCAAGCCAAGATTCCTACCGCTAATTTTTTGGTTTGACTGTCACACCGTTTTATTAATTCTAATATAACTTAAGTTTGTAATAGTATATTTGGTTTATTATAATTTGTAAACGTGTAATACAATTTGATAGTGTGATGGACAAATTTTAGGCAAGCATACTCAAATGCTTCTTGAGATGAAAGTTTTGTTTACACGTAAAATTGTAACTTTGAATTCCCTAAAAAAAATTGTAACTTTGATCAAATACTAGTTATATATCGTACTTGGGTACTTACATCTCATGAACCAAAAAAATTACGTATCTCACATTACAGCTATTAAAAGTGTTTTTAGATAATCATAAACGCTTATAAGTGTGTTGAAAATTAAAACACAATAAGAAGATGCATTTTCCAAATGAATTTAGTGATACAACTACTTTACCATACCAAAAGGTATTTAAAACAAACAAAGAGTTGAGTTTTGTCTGCTTTATTTTTCCTTTATTTGGTGGATTGAGCATAGGATTTGAAACAGAGAATTTATGGAAGGGCCATCAATTTGGACCTAAATATTATTAGTTCATTTTTAGACTTGTTGGGTGGCCGTCCATCGAGCCATGTTGCCGAAAGTACCGATCTTGGGCTAAACTAGCAGTAGACTCGGATCGCAGACATATTAGCTCAAGATTTGAGACATCTTATAAAGTTTTTAAGTCGTTTTTAGGAATGATTCTTTCGTTATGCCTTAACTTTCTATTTCATACATAATATGTTTGACAAGAAATTGAACGAAGTTATATTCTCATTTCACTCTCATTGCGTATTTTACATGACCGAAATTATATTTTTTTATTTGTCAATCTCACTTATCTCATGACTTATATTTTCAGTATTATGCTTTCTCTCTATTTCATTCATGACGTGTGCTATGTGCGGCTTGCTGCTTGTATGGTGTAAGTATATATTGTAACAAAAAATTAAAAAAATAAAACATAAAACAGATTTATATACCCAACCAACCAAAAATACCGAATGAAAGATGAGACCTGGTCATTGTCGGGTCTATCATTTTGCAACGATCGCATGCAAATTTAGGCAAAGATTTCCAATAACTCAGCATTTCCACCAAACAGAAATCCTAAATTTAGACATCACTCCAAAGGCATCAACAAATTCTAGAGACAACCAAACATGCTGAGAGAATTTTGCATAACCTCTCAAAGAAACCTAACCAAAGTGGCCTTCATCTACATATAACACTCCCTTCTCCCCCTCTCCACTCATCTCCCATAAGCAGCCTTGGGTCAAAACAAGGAGGCAGTGGAAAAATCATGCAGGCCTATGGCTGCTTTCTAGTTAGCTTTTTTATTTTCTCTTTATTTTCCTCCTCCTCTTCTGCCCTAACCGATGCCGAAGCGTCCTTTCTTGCACATCGCCAGCTTGTAAGCCTCCCAGAAGGTGGTGACATTCCTGACAACTATGAATTTGAGGTTGAGCTTGATCTAAAGTTTCCCAACACCAGGCTTCGACGTGCATACATTGGGCTTCAGGCTCTAAAAAAGGCCGTGTACTCGGACCCTCTCAAAACAACCGAGAACTGGGTTGGCGAGAATGTATGTGCTTACAACGGAGTCTTCTGCGCACCGGCTCTCGATGATCCGGAACTTGAGGTGGTGGCAGGCATTGATATCAACCATGCAGACATCGCTGGACATCTTCCTGCGGAATTAGGGTTGTTGACGGACATGGCGTTGTTCCATATCAACTCTAATAGGTTCTGTGGAATCATCCCCAAGAGCTTTAGAAGGCTAACTCTTCTCCACGAGCTTGATGTTAGCAATAACCGCTTTGTGGGATCGTTTCCCGACGTTGTCCTAGAAATTCATAACCTCAAGTACCTCGACCTTAGGTTCAACGATTTTGAGGGGAAGCTGCCTCCTGAGCTTTTCAACAAGGAACTTGATGCTTTGTTCTTGAATGACAACAGGTTCACATCCACCATTCCTGAAAATCTCGGCAACTCCCCTGTATCAGTTCTTGTCGTCGCCAACAACCATCTCGAGGGCTGCATCCCCAACAGTATTGGAAAAATGGTTAAAACTTTAAATGAGGCTGTATTCTCCAACAACAAGTTTACTGGATGTCTGCCTCCTGAAATCGGACAACTCGCAAACGTGACGGTGTTCGATATTAGTTCAAACACATTCAGTGGGATTATGTCGAAAACTTTCAAGGGCTTGGAAAAGGTGGAGGAGCTGAATATCGCACACAACATGCTAACTGGGTTTGTTCCTGATAGTATGTGTATGTTGCCAAACTTGGGAAACTTCACGTTCTCGTACAACTACTTCAATGGAGAGACCCAAGAATGCGTGCCAGGATCTCGGAAGGACGTTGTGTTTGATGATGTGAGCAATTGTTTACCAGACAGGCCTGAACAAAAGTCGGCAAAAGAATGTCATGCTGTGGTGAGCAAGCCAGTGGATTGCAGTAAGGCAAAGTGTGGCGGTGGACATGGGCCGTTGAAACCTTCTCAGCCTCTGGTTGAAAAGCCAAAGACACCAGAGACAGAACAACCCAAACAACCACCACCACAACCTAAGCCACAACCACCAAAACCATCACCTGAACCGGTTCAAACACCTCATACACCAGAACCAGAACCACAACCACCCAAGGAGGAGCAACCCATGGAACAACCTCCCAAGGAGGAGCAACCCAAGGAACAACCTGCCAAGGAGGAGCCACCCCAAGAACAACCTCCTAGAGATGAGCCACCAAAGGTGCAACCTCCCAAAGAAGAGCTACCAAAGGTGCAACCTCCTAAAGAGGAGCTACCCAAAGAACAACCTTCAAAAGAGGAACCACCCAAGGCACAACCGCCTCAAGTAGAAGCACCTGCTCCAGAGCCGGTTTTAGAAACCCCATCACCTACACCATCACCATCACCTAAAGACATAGGTCCTAAGGTTCCAATTTTCCCTCCACCAATTGTTGACGCTCCTCCACCAGCACCCTTTGGGCAAAGATCTGTCGTTCCAATCCGCCCTCACCCACCACCAGTTCACTCCCCTCCACCAGCAGTAGTAGCGCAACCACCACCAATGAGCTCGCAACCACCTCCGCTTCACTCTCCTCCACCACCAGTCCATTCACCCCCACCACCAATCCACTCTTCTCCACCACCAGTGGACTCACCCCCACCACCCGTCCAGTCGCCTCCACCACCGGTGCACTCACCCCCACCACCTGTCCATTCGCCTCCACCACCGGTTCACTCACCCCCACCACCAGTCCACTCTCCTCCTCCACCAGTCCACTCTCCTCCTCCACCTGTGCACTCACCTCCTCCATCACCACCACCTGTGCACTCTCCTCCACCACCCGTCCACTCTCCTCCTCCACCAGTCCACTCTCCTCCTCCACCTGTGCACTCACCTCCACCACCTGTGCACTCACCTCCACCACCGGTCCACTCACCCCCACCACCAGTACACTCACCCCCACCACCTGTACACTCACCGCCGCCGCCAGTGCACTCACCTCCACCACCTGTGCACTCACCTCCACCACCGGTACACTCGACCTCCACCACCGGTACACTCACCGCCACCGCCATGTACACTCGCCACCGCCACCAGCACCAGTCCACTCACCACCACCTCCAGTCCAATCATCACCACCACCAGTACCGGTCCACTCACCACCACCTCCAGTCCAATCACTACCACCACCTTCTCCATCTTTATCACCTCCTCCTCCCGTTTCCTCATCACCCCCTCCAGTATATGACTTCGTATTGCCACCTACCATCGGGTTCCAATACTCATCTCCACCTCCACCAATGTTCCCAGGCTACTAAGCGCACTGCGATATCAAGCTCCCACCCGGCCCTGCATGAAAATTTGTTTATAAATATTTACAGTCTCACAAAAATACACCACTTTTGTTAGGACCATAGCTTGTAACTCATGACATCAAAGTGTAAATCTTTTCATATGCTACAGAATGCAATAAAAAGGACTTTATCGGCAAATCACACATCCACTTTTTTCTCGTTTAATTTTAAGATTCTATTTGATGTGTGTGAGTACTGACTACAATGCACGATGAAACATCACTGCATATCATCAATATATATATAATATTTGAGAACAGAAGAAAAATTTGTGTGAGATTCAGTTTGTCATGGATCTTGCTGAGTGAAACTACACCCCACTCAAAGCTTGCCACGTAAAAGTTTTAATACAATTTTTTATCATTTTTTTATATTTAAAATTTTCATAATTCTTTTTCCTACTAATTAATAAACACATGAGATTCATCTAATGGTTCTTCTGTTTTTTTTCCGTCTTCTCCTCTATTTTTCTTAATTTTCTATGTTGTATGTGGTCTTCCTCCCTACTCTGTCCTTCCTTTCTTCGTAAGAATATGATAAAAAATAAAATAAAAATAAAAATAAAATTAAGCCGACTTCTCCAGTTAGTAACGGGAATAATAAGAGACAAGATACGATGATTAATTGTTTTAATAATATATTTTTGTGATATAATGGTTCCCCATCCAGCCTTTTTTTATCTCTTCCTACTACTATAACAAATGCTGCCGCATATAAGTCTAATATCCCTCTTCTTCTCTATCGGTTTACTTAAATAAATAAATAAAATAAAAAATGATGTTCGGGCACCTTCATGCATGCGAACTACTACCACCATTATGTTATACACGTTATACGCAGAAGCTACGATCAGAAATAAGAATAAACTGTCAGAATATGGCCGTATTGTCTCTAGTGAATTTGTGCTTTCATTTTGGTATGAGCACCTGCCTTCAACAACGGACCACCCGGCCACACTGTTCTTCATTTACCACGAGAATCACGATCAACTGCATGGATATCCTAGACAGACAATGAGGTATAGGCGGTCCGTTTTGCATTGGGTGCGTACAGTAAGCTTTGCGTGCTCTGCACAGAAGTAGTATCAGAGTCCTCGGTGAAGGCCCTAAACCTCAACTCGTCACCATAAATACTCGGGTTTATCTTCACCTCGTGAACAGAAGTTTGGCCTTCAAGCATGCTCACTACTGCAGACATTGTAGGTCTTAGTGCCGGTGATGAATTGACACATAGTACAGCTACCTTTATCATTCTCAATGCCTCTTCCTTATTGAACTCAGACCCCAACTTTCGATCCACCAGCTCCATCAGATTTCCATCTTGATGCAAAACAAGGGCCTGCGGCATTGAGAAGAAATGCAGAAGGAATGATGAGAAGTTGAAAACATTTGAAGAAGAAAATGAAAAGCCATGTTCTAATTCTTCGGTTCTCTTTTACAAATACGGCGGAGCCAAACAATTTGCATGTGTTGGAAAAACAGTCCTACAAAAAGCACTCTGGCTTCCCATATACTTTTTCCTGTACCAAAAACGACTGCCACGAAGGTCTTACCCAATCAAGAAGGCATACAAAATTCTCATTTGGACGATATTTGACGTTGTTTTTTCCAGAGATGAGTTCCAATGCAACGACCCCAAAACTGTAAACATCTGCTTTGTCACTCAAATAACCCCATAACGCATATTCTGGTGCCATGTATCCTCTGCACATTAACAACTTCTGTTAAGTGTCCATAAAGATGTCATCTAAAGAACTTTATGTACATTGATTATATTGATTTTGATGATGTTTTGAAATACAATTTTGCAATTAATACATCTACTTCAGTAAAGTTTTTTTTTATCGTTAAAAAGAAGATTTGAGTTAAAAAGTCTTCATGTTATCTAAATTAAGAAAATAAAACAAGCAAAATAGAAACCACAACAAATGAAAGAACAAAATGAAGGATTGCTCACATAGTTCCAGCGACTCTGGTGCTAATATGGGTCTTCTCCTCTTCATCCAGCTTAGCCAAACCAAAGTCGGATATCTTAGGGTTAAGGTCTCGGTCAAGCAGTACATTGCTTGTTTTGATGTCTCTATGAACAATTTTCAGTGTCGACTCCTCATGCAGGAAAGCCAGACCTCTTGCAATGCCAAGACATATTTTATGCCTTGTATTCCAGTTCAGTTTCTTTAGGCCTTCCTCTGGTCCTGAAATTAGTAGATAACTCAAAGAATATTCATGAAACTAATTATAACATACGGAAGTAAAGCACTTCGTCCAACTTACCAAACAAAACATGGGCAAGGCTATTGTTCTCCATATATTCGTATACCAAAAATAACTGATTTCCTTCGACGCAGCATCCATACAATTTCACAAGATTTGGGTGTTGTAAGGCAGAAATCATGCCTATTTCATTCACAAATTCACGATTTCCTTGCTTTGATTTTGAAGAAAGTTGCTTAACTGCAATAAATGTGCCATCTAATAATTCGCCCTGCATTTTGAAATATAATACATTTGAGGAATATGAGTCAACCATAATACTCTCCAAGAGTGATACACCATAGCGTTCAAAACAAAAGAAAAGTTCTTACAAATATAGGAAAACAAAATGGAGTTGTGGAATACCTTGTAAACAGCTCCAAAGCCACCTTCCCCAAGCTTGTTTGCAGCATCGAAGTTGTTAGTTGCAGCTTTAAGTTGCTTGAATTTAAAGAAACCAGTTTGAAGATCGAATCCCATGAGATCTGTTCATGTTGAAAGGTTAACATATTGAACTATTTAGAATCGAAAGGGCAACAAGAGGTAGAATAAGAGTTGAATTTGCATTTATAACATGTTTACAACAAGGGCCGGCATTAAACCCCTAGTAAATTTTAACATATTGATGAACTGTCAAATTCCATCAGATTCGTGCATGCATGATTCGATGATGAAATTATTTTAGCAGAAGAAGTTAGAAATGGGATTTAACTTTAAGTTAGAATTGTAAATGGAAACGTTAAAGGCTACGGATTTGAGTGAAATAAATAAAAATTAGTAATCCTAGGGATAGGAATCAAGGTTCAGTAAATACAGATGATAAGAATAAGATTCGATCCTCTCGACTGTTCAACCAAGCAGCTGACTTTCGTTGATAAGTTAACTCTCTAATGATTCAGCATACTGATAGGTGCTACCAATGTAAAAGCCCCTTTGAAAATTCATACTGTAGCAAGTAGAAATATGAATAACTTTTCAACTTTTCTAAAAAAAAAAACAGAAGACCTATATGGTATTGTCTGTACCTTGTTCCCTGGTTGTCCTGCCTCCGAAACAGCCTTTCAACCAAAGAATGCTCAAAATTACGAAAATAAGGAATAACGCTGAAACAACTCCAATCACAATGAATTTCTTCCTTTTGCTATCATCAGGCGGCTTGAAATCTAGAATAAGAGCCAAGAACAGTGATTGTGAGAGAACAATAAATTTCGACAGGATTGTATAGAGAGAAACTTAAACATTGCTACTTACCAGACTGCACTGAGATAGCTGATATCAGAGAACCATATGTTCCTGATTTTGGAACATTTGTTGTCCCTTTCCCAGCCCACTGAAAGCGGATTTCTAAAGTCTTAACGCTAACAACTGCTTTAAATACCTTAATCACTTCCTTATCAACCCCTTGTGCTTCCTTTTCAATATCAAAATCCTCCAAAACCAGTTTATCCTGCAACAAATTATTTACTCAGTCAAGTAGAAAAATAAGAAAGACGAGCGGTTAGAAAAATTGTAAAAAAGTATGTGGAGTTGTGGATCGCTGGTTAAGCTCTGTGAGTGAAAAGACAATGAAAAGAGTCAAGGTTATCCAAATGGTTAAAACTGAAAGTGACAAAAATGTAAAATGTTTACTATTTTTACAGAGCCAAAAAGCACTGCAAATGACTACCTGGATATAAACGTTAAAAATTCGTCTTCCAACACCATAATAAGACCTGTTGTCTCTGATAACTATTTCCGCAAAGTGCAGTTTCACAGTGTAATTTCCATTTGCTAAGCAACGAGCATAATATGTGAGAGAAAGAGGAGACAGTCGTGCAGTTTTATACAATTCAGAGTTGTTCATTCTGAGTATCGAAATATTGTTTGCTATATAGTCTTTGTTGGAGCTCCAAACATCCGCAAAATCACCAGTACTGCTAAATCCCCAATTTGCTGAGTTCTGAAAAAACTTTGCTGCACCTCCTGAGGCGTCATCTGCCTCGTACTTGATGTTTCCGACTGTGGTTTGATTTCCACCGCAATTTAGATGTAATGAGTACCGATCTATATAAATAAAGAAGAAGAGAAAGAATTTCAAACAATGCTTTGTAACCTTTTCACTTCATATGAACACGAATTTACTCCTACAGATTTAATTCTAACAACAAATTTTAACTACCTTTTGAACATGGAAAGAGGCAATTGCTAAGTAGCCTACAATATGAAAAATAAACATTAGCTTCTTAACTTAATAAAGAGAAATGAAAAGTCTTTGCATGAAGCTCATGAAGTTAGAAGCATACGAATTGTTCTGACTGGAAAAACTTCTGAACAAATTGCTGATGCAAAACACATTACAAAAAGTTAGATTCATCTATATAAGAAGTCAAAGAAAGTAACAAAGGTTTATCTCAAGGACATTAACATAAAAAAAATGGAAAAACCGTTATGCTTACAAGGTCTCTCGACAAGAATTTGGGACAGAGTTCTGAGGAAAAGTATTGTAAGAAAGATCTATATTGCTGCACACAAAACATGAAGCTCTCTGTTAGCTTCGAATTTTGGTAAAATCAATATCAGAAGATTTTTGTAAAACTTGTAAATAATATAATTACTTGTGGGAATTCAACAGTATGCATTATCAACAGAGTAAAGAAAAAAATAATGCGTTCATATGAAATTCAGGATGACGAAGCAGAAAAAATATGTAAAAATCTGGGATGAAGAAGCATACTAGCGACTGTCTCTATTTTTAATCCACTCTGGAAGACCAGTTAGCAAGTTGCTTGTCAGATATCTGATCAGTGAGCAATATAAAACAGAAGTCAACGAACATATATTTATAAGTATACTGGTTCAAAATACAAAGAAAGATGAGAAATTTAAAGTCTTTCTAAGGCCTTTCCCTTGGTACAGCTATGATTCCTAGCAAGAATTTGGTCGAATCCTAAATGTACTCATATCTCTATACTTTTTTTTTCTTCTGGTAAACAACAAAACAAAACTGCACTCATTCTTATTCAGTCAGAATGCGTTATCCAGAAGTAAGCTTCATGTTAACATCAAAATGACAATGTTAAAAGTTGGATCGTGACACTTGTACGAACCAAGGGAAATGCCTCCATGCATCATCATGTGTGTTAGCTACCCTTATGAGTTATATTCCTTACATTGTGGCCAATTCCATAATATCTGCAAAATTTGGAATACTCCCTTCCAATCTGTTGAAGCTAAGATCTCTGCAAATGAATATGTATACAAATAATCAGAAGTATATTCAGCAAATTTTAAAAACATAAATGAATCAACCAGTAGTCTGCACACCAAATTCACGATCGGGTTTTGGACAAATTTAGAATATGCTTTAAAGTGTAAGGTCAAACTGCTCATAGTGTTACCAGTTTGTTATACAATATTAGTAATAATCTAGAGCTACAGTGTAGAACCAATTATTAAGAGCTTCATGTCATGAAAAAATGGAGAATAATAGATAGAAGAATTACAAAACAGTCAGACTTGTCATGGTAGAGATATATTCAGGCATTTCTCCGGTTATATTGCAGCTCCTTAACATCCTGCAATTTGAACAACCAATATTCGTAAATTAGTTTTCATCTGCATGCATTATGCTAATAGAAAAATATATAAAACCTAAAATATGGCTCACAATTTATTCATGCCCGTCATGCTTGATAAGTTTGGAAAAGATGAACTCTCACCACTTAAGTCACTAATCCTTCTGCAAAAGGTTACAGCATGATAACATGTTGGAATACAAGTATCTTCATAAATTCATTTTTCTCTCTAAATTAGAAAGACGCAAGGAGATCATGCAAATTAAAATAACTGATAGCTTGGAAGGCAGGACTCACAGATCTGTCATATTACTCAAGGCAGAGAGACTAGATGGAAGGGGGCCTTCAAGACCACTCGCTTGCATCTCTCTGTAAACAACATATTTGATGGATTTAGGATTACACATGAAAATATTTCAGTTGAGAATTTAAAAAGTGCAACAAAAGTGATCTCTTACAAGGCCTGGAGGTTTTTCCAACTTCGAAAGTAGTCAGGTATTCTTCCAGCGAAGTTATTACTGCCAATCTGACTGTAAATAATGCCACAAAAAGCCGAAAGATTAAATGACATAAACCATAAGTATTTCATGGAACGAACGTACATTATTTAAGGTAGTCATATCACTTACAGTACTCTTAATTTGGTCATTTTAGTGAGGGCAGAAGGCAGCTCACCAGTGAGATTGTTAGCACGAAGATAGCTGTAGTTAGCCATGGAAACACAAGACCAAACCGTTGTCAATTAACATATATACTTGCTTATGAAAATCCAATAAAATTTAAAAAATGTGAATCATATAAAGTTACAAAGGAAGATAAAGTAGAAAACTAACAGACGCTCCAGGTTAACCAAATTGCCCAATTCCTGGGGAAGAGCTCCAGAAAATAAGTTGCTCTCCAAGGCCCTGAAAGCAAAAGCCTTGTCAAGTTCGCATTGGTGCACAAAACTAACAATTCTGAATGAGGTGATAGCAATGGAAGAAAGAATAGATGCATACAGAGATTGGAGAGTAGTTATGCTTCCCAAATAACCAGGAATGGGTCCTGATATGTTGTTCACACTGAGAACCCTGCATGTGCATGAAATTGGTTCAATAATTGGTATGCAAGTTTTTATTAACCTCAAACAAAAGTCTAGAATTCACTCACAGAAGTTCCAACTTCGTAGAATTCCATTTGCGCGGTATTGAACCACTAAGGTAATTCCTGGCCAAATTACTACGATCATAAAGAAACAGTGCTATTAGGTTTTCAGATAGAAGCTTAATAGATTTGTGGATGAAGAAACTAAAACAAATTAGCGGACATATCTTCATACACTTGCTTAAGGTAAGGTAGCTTCGACAGCGCTGGCGGAAGCACACCATCAAGGTCCTGTCCGGTAAGAATACTGCATAATAAGGATCCACAACTTACAGGTTATGAATGTTGTGCCAAAAATCGCAATCTCTTACAACTTGATATTGACAAAAAACCTTCATACACTTGCAATGGCAGCATTGGTCATTACCATCACAGGCAATTTAGAGCAGAAATTATATACTACAGCTCGTAAAAGGTGCATACATGCTTTGGATGTGGCATACATTGCCAGAGAAAGAGCAGTTGCATACGACAGTGTTGTTGTACTCATCCGAATGCGGGATTGAAATAGTCGGAATATTGCTACAAGGATCACTGAAATTCCAATCCTTTTTATTCAACTGCACAGCTATTTCACGAAGTGCTTCCACTGCCACACCCAAATACACAGAAACACAATCTCAAAATCACTTTTCACAAAAGCAAGTAATGGGTAAGATAAAGTTTCATCCTTTCTAGTAAGTCTAATACAATTGGCCACATAAAACACAGAAAAAAAAAATTAAACTTCATAAAAAACTCATGTATAAGCTCTGTTCTTATTCAATTTCTTGTAAAATTTTGTCTAAAAAGCTTATAAATTTAAGTTATTTCCACCACAAATATACAATTTTCAACATTTTTCAGATGAACAATCCAATTCCAGCAACTAAAATTGCAATCACTTCACACATATAGAAAATCAAAACAAAGGCTTTCAAAGTAAGAGAGCCCTTTACCTTCATCGTCTGCAAGAGTGCCCCCCTGTTCCTGGCATTTGATTGGCTCGATGCAGATAAGTACTGTGAGTAGAACAACATAGCAGAAGAACAACTTTGAAAGGTTTTGACTTGCTGCCATTTTTCTTCACATAATCACAATCCATGGAACTCCGTTGTTTCTGTCTGCAGGCTCTTATATAAGTTATAATTATCTATCCTGATGGAATAATGGTGCAAATAATTATCCCCACTTTGGTTTTTTATCTTCAGGGTCAAAATCACTTGCCTAAAGTAGACCAACGGTTTTTTTTTTAATTATTGAAAATGACATACACATATTTTGTCTAATTTCCCATGCACTTCTGTTTTATTTTGACAATTACTTCTATTTTATTTATTAAATTTGATGATAAAAAAACGTGCGAAAAGTTTTGGCAAATACGCTCATAGTAATTATGGTAGATATCTTATATACGAAAGATAATAATTTACCTTGTCAATTCTCAAAAAAAGTTGAAAATCAATTTTTTGTTCACCTTGATGTGTCCTCAAATTAAGATCACATTTTTAGAGAAAGAAGATATTATTAGATGGAAGTAGAAATAAAGTGATGAATTAAAGTTATTTATCTTTTACTGTCTTTTGTGGAGACGTAAGTTGAGTAGGTTCTTTGCGCATTTGACTAGTCTTTAACACCTGTTGTTTGCCAGCCTATTGACAACTAGAGCTTGGATTAGCTCAACTTTGAATAAAATTATATTATATTAAGCCTCCTGCTCACGTGCTACAGAATTTCGTTTTAACCTCATATGAGCTCATGTGCTATAATTAATAAAAAATTAATAAAATTTTCAATTAACGTTTAAATTCTAACAAATTTCATCACATGAGTTTTATTCTTTACTAATCAGGATTCTCGCCGGATTCATTCCCTAAAGCCTAGGGATCCTAGGGATCAAGTAATCGTGTCCGTTCATCATATATCGTGAGGTTATAAATTATTTAAAATTTAAAATTCAAATAAAAATAATATCTAACAAAAACTAATCACACGATATACGATAAACAGATACGATTACATTATTCCTAGAATCCGTAGGGAATGGATCCGGCGAGGATCCTGGTTCATTCTTTACTACCAGGATTATCTTTTAACCATCCTATCACCAATTAAAGCTTTCTGTTTTTTGTACTTTCTGAGGAGAGAGAGAGAGAGAGGGAGAGAGAAGAGATTCACGCAGCTGACGGATCACATGCCATGATGGGCTCCCAAATGCTTTTCAATTGGATAATATAATAATGTAGGCAAAAGAAGTTGGTTTTATGATTATGATGCGCCCATGGCTTACCAATATGGGGAATATTCTGCTTCGATCGATTAGTAAAGGAAATGCTTTCGTTGGAAGTATTTTTGCTAATAAGTGTTTATGTTATAAGTGTGTTTGTTATATTCTGAAAAATACACATCTAAAATGTGTTTTTTTATAAAACGGTTACTTAACTTGAAAACATTTATGTTTTGCTAAACATTGTTAGAGCATTTAGCAAGAAATCTTTTGACAAACACACATAAAAAGAAAAATTTACAAATCCCTAATATAAAATAGATCTAATAACGGTTAAACAGATAATAAGTCGTATTTTTTGTTGTTGAAATATTAGTAATTGATTTGCTATCCAACTATAGTGAAGTTTTTGTCTTACTGATCTCAGGGCTTGAAGCGTGTTTGCCAGCAAATATCACTAAACAGATAATAACCACATCAGTCCAAAACTAGCTTAACCTTGATGGCAATTAGCTAATAAACTAGTTACGATAAGGCATGTTTAATGATTTATTAAGTGTTTTTTTTTGGCGCACAAAACAGACAAGACAAGCTAATGTACTGCATGGGCTCATTTACGTACGTACTCTGTCAAATTGGGGGACAAAGTTTAGGGTATATTTTGACATGTCATCACATGCCAACATAACAAAGCATTAACAAAATACATGTCATGACATATTGATCCTAGCAAAATATCGGCATAATGCATATGTTATAACATACTCATAGCATACCACACATTATATATAGCTACTGAATAGCATTCAATCTCTTATACTGGCATTCAATCTCATACGTACAATATTAGTGAGGTGTTTTTTTCTTTTGGTTGGTGAAAATTGTTTAGGTGTTTTACTTCCTTTCCTCCCAATATTGACCATTTATTTGGTTTACTTTATGTATATAACTTTTATGTGTCGTGTCGGCAACTAGATTAACCTTCTTTGACTGGAAAGTTCAAACCATGGAAAAAACCTTGTCTTTTGAAAAGTCATCAAAAGGAAATGTATAAAACAATATTGCGTCTATATTCAGTTCATGCATATGCATAGCAACTAATTACGAGGCGTTTGGTTACATACAAATGTGTTTGGGGACGAGCAGTGGCGGATCCGACATTTGACATTGGGGAATTCCAAGGTTAAAGTAAGTTTTAAATAGAAACAGAGCGGGGCATGCAAAAGTATTTTAGTTTATTTACTGGGTTATTTTGTTGAATATTTAGTGAATTTGTTGTCATCAATCGAACCATATTGTAATAAATATCGACTTACGTTGAAATAATTTAATAAGTGCTATAAAAAGAATTTATCGAATGCTCTCAACGCAACTTATCGAATATTGCCGAATTACGTCTTGAGCATTGCATCAATCACTTGCTGAGGATTACATTCAAGTATTCCCTCTCCAATCTTCATTGGCTCCATGGCTTTCATCTCGTATAATTTTTTTTTTTTTTTTTTTGGTTTTCTTTTCAACATCTTTTTTGTGGGTTGGTTTAAAAGAAGGATTTCATCTTATTATTTTCTTAAATAATGCCTACTAGCTTTCATGAGAATTAGAATGTAATTGTATAAATTTTATTGGGATTCCATAGTATATATTTGAATAGTTTTCTGATTTTAAAGATTTAACCTTCCTACTATTAACAATTGGTGAGAAAACACCTCAAAATTCATCCAATTCTCTCTACACCTTGCCGCTGCATCTCTCTCCCTATAATTCTTCAGTTAAATACACCTTCAACAAAAATTAAGTTATTAACGGAAGATAGAGACTTGAAGCCTGCAATTTTCTTTATTGAAGTCTTTTAATAAAAAAATAATGAAATTAATAGGAAAATTGAAATTGAATGATTGGGCTTGTCCAATTCAACTCATTTGTCACATAAGATGACATAAAATTATGGTATAATATATGGAAACTTTAACGCAAAGCTTCCGGTACTGTTCACTTTAACGAAAAACCACATTTTTACACTAAAAAGTCAATTCTGGTACTATTAACTTTACCCTTTATTTTATTCTTATCTTTAAAACTCAAAGTTTTCAAGCTTTTTTTCATTAGTTTTTCTTGTAAAATAGGTTACTCTGATTATATTATGCAATGTTTTCTTGTTATGCTTGTATTACCAGACTGAATCTGAATTTCGTTTATTTGATATAATACGAAGCAATGCTCCATATATTTGAGCCAAAATAACAACAATGTAAGGAAAAAGAAGAAACATCAATCTATTAAGCAAACACAATTGAGGATTTACAGTAATAAAAACCATCGTGTATTTGATGTCACCCTCTTTTTATTGTACAAGCTTGTAATAGCCGTGTAGTCTCTAGTGAAGTTGTGCTTTCATTTTGGTATGAGCACCTGCCTTCAATGGCGGAGCACCGGGCCACACTCGTCCTAATTTACCTTTGAGAATCACGATCAACAGCATACATATCCTAGACAGACGATGAGGTAGAGGCGGTCCATTTTGCATCGGATGAATAAAATAAACTTTGCGTGCTCTCTTCAGTAGTAGTATCAGGGTCCTCTGTGAAGTCCCTAAACCTCATCTCGTCACCATAAATACTCGGGTTTATCTTCACCTCGTGAACAAGAGTTTGGCCTTCAAGCATGCTCACTACTGCGGACATTATAGGTCGTAGTGCCGGTGATGGATTGGCGCATAGTAGAGCTACCTTTATCATTCTCATTGCCTCTTCCTTATTGAACTCAGACCCCAACTTTCGATCCACAAGCTCCATCAGATTTCCATTATGTTGTAAAACAAGGGCCTGCGGCATTGAGCAGAAATGCAGAAGGAATGTTGAGAAGTTGAAAACATTTCAAGAAGAAAGTGAAAAGCTATGTTTCTTAATTCTTCGGTTCTATTTTATAAATCAGGTGGAGCCAAACAATTTGCAGATATTGGAAAACCAGTCCTACGAAAAGCACCCTGGCTTCCTATATACTTTTTCCCATACAAAACGAATGAAACGAAGATCTTACCCAATCAAGAAGGCATACAAAATTCTCATTTGGACGATATTCGATGTTGTTTTTTTCCAGATAAGAGTTCCAATGCAACGACCCCAAAACTGTAAACATCTGCTTTGTCACTTAAATAACTCCATAATGCATATTCTGGTGCTATATATCCTCTGCACATTAACACTTTTTGTTAGCATCCATAAAGATGCCATCTAAAGAATTTTTTGTACATTGATTACATTAAGTTCAATGATGTTTTGAAATGAAATTTTGCAATTGATTATATTTTTCATCTTACGTTTGTATCACATTTTTAGAGAGGTAAGACCTATTAACACATGTGGATCATGTCTATATTAGAAAGATAATACAAATGCGGCATGAAAAATATAATAAGATTTGCATTTTTGATATTTAAATAAGTGCTCTTTAAAGTGGCCATATTTCAATTTCCCTACACAGACCCTCGTGTTTTTTTTTTTTTTTTCTTTTTCTTATAAAAATAATTAACCCATGTCATTTTTAGTCTCGTATACAAATGTGGCTAGAATACAATTCTATGTCAGTCGCAGTCAATGAAGGGACCCTCATTACACTTAATAATCGAGGACTTTTCACGACACGTATTATTCAATCTCATACGTACAAAATTATTGAGGTGTTTTACCTTTTTGTTGGTGAAAATTATTTAGGTGTTTTGCTGCCTTTCCTCCCAATAATAACAATCTCTCTGGTTTACGCTTTTTACTTTGAGAAAGACTAGGCTCCTCAAAATTGAGGAGAAATTTTTTCTAAGTTCACATAGCTTCTGATTTACACAGAATTTATAATTAAAATCGTTCATATTATAAATCATCTTATAAAGATTATCTGTATTAAAAAAAAAATCAATTAAAACTAAGATTGTTCGGTAATCAATTTCACGCTCCGATTTCGACATACGTTCAGGATCGACACGTGATGTCACCAAAAATCCACATCTAACATACCCCTCCGGATATGGGCAAAGCACAACTCGAGAATCGAATCGCATAGTAATTTTTTGTATACTTTATGGCTGCATCTAACCTCCTCGTTAGACTACCTACGTACCTAAAACAGGGATTAAGTCATTCATAATTCATCTTTCACTACACTCGAACAATCATCACATAAATCACTATGTCTTAACATAATACCACACAACAGGTATGCAACATCACGAGGAACATTCGACGAAGCACAACATGAATCTCTAGCCATATTGGTCTACAAGTCCAATCATAATGACAACAATCACAACCAACATTATTCCACAATCACCTCAATCAATAACTCATACAATACACTAAAAATGCAAGGCTAGAACGACATAGTTCGACCAAAGCCTACATCTCTGAAGCTGAAATCAAATCCAAGGAATCAACAAGTCAAATGATGCGATTTCGAACCACTCAACGGAACCATGACACCAAAGGAGATTCCGAACCACTCAATGGAATCCAAACCAAGATACGATTCCAGACCACTCAATGGAATCACGGAGTAGAAGGGATTTCGGACCTCTCAACGGAATCCGAATGGATACGATTCCAGACCACTCAACGGAATCGCGGAGTACAATGCATATTGAACCACTCAATGAAATCCAAGCTGCATATGATTTCGGACCACTCAACGGAATCTAAACCAAGATACGATTTCATACCACTCAACGGAATCGTGGAGTACAATAGATATCAGACTACTCAACAAAATCCAAAGCATGATACAATTCCGGATCACTGAACAGAATCGCAGAGCACGAGGAATTTTGGACCACTCAACGGAACCCCAAATGAGCCCAATTCCGAACCACTTAACGGAACCGAGCGAAAGTCCAAGAAACATAACAACGGCTCAAAGAAACAAGACATGAATCAAGTACTCATAATACAAAAGCTAAAAAAAACAAGAAATGGAACAAAGCACAAAACACACAATTACAACGGCTCAATGAAATAAGAAATGAAATAATGATACAATATATGAAACAACAGCAACAAACCCCATGACAATGGGTTCATGGTCCATTACTAGCCCTCACATTTCATCACCTCAGGCCAAACATACAAGTTAACCACACTCCACAACAAGTTCAATACACAAGTCAAATCACATAAAATAAACAAGCATAACACAATGTGATGCCATTAGTACATAAATTGAGGTGCACGTCAATCAAGGAAGACATTTCTTCATGCTAAGCCCAATAAGTTCGATGGAATCTCAACAACACCCTAAGATCAGCAACACACTAGAAGAACTCAGGCTAGTTGACTAAAAAGTCAATTGTCGATCAAGATCAAGAGTAAGGTCCACAACCTTAGAAATCTAACTCGAAGATCGGCTCTATCATATTTCTGATCTGTAACTTTCCAAGAGTCTCACAACTCTTCTAGAACAACATACTAAAATTTCATTACGATCCATTGGTTGGATTTCTGCCAATCACTAAGAATAAGTGGCGGTCAACGTTTGATTTTACAAATTAGAAATCCAATTCGAGAAGATCCGTAAGTCAAATTCTTGATCTGTAAGTTCCTATTGTCCTCAAATATTACGTATTAAAGTTTGGTGACAATCTAACGATCGGATCGTCGATTCATATAATGACCAAGTGGCGGTCTCTATCAAAACTATAGTCATACGATGAGATCTCGTCAATCGGACATCACATATGGAATCAGGGTATCCAAATTAGTCTAGAGAGGGCAAGTGGAGTCTCGCCCCACGCGACCCCGCCACGCATTGCTGTATACGGCGGCTGATAGCCTCGACTTGCCGGAAAATTTCGCCTAACTCCAAAAATTACCATTTTTCACAAAAAATGTAGAGCAAGTCAAGGGAAACAACTTTCATACCTAAGCCGAAGTCCAATTCGGACAGGAAACACCTGAAAACACCCTTTAAAGGGTTGGGTGGCCAGAAACTTTCAAGCTTCGTTGCTCCTCCGTCGAAGGTTCGATGACCGTGATTGTTGTCAAGTTTTACTACTGCAAGGAAGGGCTACCAACCTCACGTGGTGCGCCACCGAGATTGTTGCCAGAAATAGACGTAACGGCTCTAGGGTTTTGACGAGTTCATGAGGTTCTCGTGCTTCATTTGCTAAACATGGTAATCCGCATGTGGAATTAAGGTGAGGGCTCGACTGGGTTCGAAGTAAGGAGTAATTTGACACCGACCCCGTCGTCAACAGTGACCGAAATAAGGAATTATGGTTGGGTCGGGTCGAAGGGGGGTCAGGGTTCATCTCCTTCTCTTTCTCCCTATTTTCTTTCCTTTCCCCCCTTTTCCCATTAGGCAACCCCCAATCCCTCATTTCTCTCCTCTACTCTCCATCCTGACCACACACGTGGCGCCATTTCCTCTCATCCTGATCCAACAAATTTGGAGCCTTCTAGATTGAAGGAAAATTACCAAAATGTCATTAACTTTAAACGTTAATAACTCATTCGTTATAATTTCGTTTCACGAACGGTTTGCTCCTACACGTTCGTGAGATTGAGCTCTATTCGAAAATATAAATTGTGACCTCGAAAGGCCTACAGATTTTAAATAACTAATTTCCAAACTTCAAACTTTGTAACTAGTTTAATTAAAATCTAAATTCAAATAAATTAATATAAATTCCAAAAAAATAATATAAAATCTCAATAATACAAAAACGTAGATTATAACAGTGAAATCCATGAATGGGATTTCACATGTCTTCTCTAACTTTAACTTGGCATGACTCTCCTCCACCGACGGCTCGTGTTGCATTGTTTTTAGACTACGTTCGTTTGCCTGACTACTGCTTCTCAAATTAATGTGTATCTTGGCATCCATGTTTGGCTCACTTTCTATTTTTTCCTAACTTTGTGGTGTTGCTCAACTTGTTTTGCAGGTTTAGACCTTTAGGTTTGGTTTTAAAGGAGTTAGGTTTCATGTCCCCCCTCTTTTCTTTGTATCTTTCTTGTTTTTGTTTCTAGAAGGATACAGTTTATGTGCCCTCTTCTTTTTCGTGTATTGTTTTTGTTATCTCTACTTTATGAGGGGTAAAGTTTATATCCCCCTGTGACTAGGTGTATCTTCTTTTTTCGTTATCAATAAAAATTTCCTCGTACCGTCAAGATTTCCCTATTAAAAAAAAAAAGAAACATATATATACACATATAAAAACATGTATTAGGCATAAATGATATCATAATGAACAAAACTCAAAGTATGAGTAAATTTCGTTAACAATTAACATATATATACTAGAAAGGGGGACATAATGAGCCTTGTCCAACAAACACATACATATAACATACAACAAAAACAAGAAACAAACATGCGATGTAAATATGTGCTACATGACTTGAGTTCAATTTTAATATAATGAGAATACCTCAAAGACTCAAACAATTAACTCAAAAGCTCAACAAACACAAACAATCTATCTTAAAGAGTAATGCTAGGGAGATCAAAATTTTAAACCAAATGATGTGATTGTTGATGATTGGATTATTACTTGTGTGGATTAACGTTCTTATTTCTTATTGATGACACACCATTTAATTTGCAAATTTAGTTTAAAATTTTGGTCTTCCTAGTATTATTCTATCTTAATACATGAGGCATTAAAATTATGGAGTAAGATTCTCTTCCCTCCCAATCTCTCTCCCCTTTCATTCTCTCTTATTTAAATGGTTACGATTAAACCACATTAACATCTTATATTAATTTTTATAAAGAGATAAAGATAAAAAAAATAAAAAATAAAAATGTGAGAGGAGGTGCAAGAAAGAGAGAAAATTAGAAGATTTGAGAATCATATTTCTAAAAGGGAAGTGTTATTGACACTCCAAAAATCTCATTCTACACTCCTCATTAATAAATTTTTTTCCTAATATAGAAAATTTGGAGTGTAAAATAAAATTTTTGAAATGCTAATAACAATTCCCTTCTAAAATTATGTTCCCGTCGAATAAAGCACGTTAACGTGTAAGAACATGATAGTGTTCCTTTTTATGGGTGATTGATTTGCTATCCAACTATAGTGAGGTTTTTGTCTTACTGATCCAAGGGCTAGGCGTTGAGAAGTGCTTACCAAAAAATATCACTAAACCGACAAGGACACATCATTCAAATCTAGCTTAACCTTGATTTTGGTATACAATATTGATGGCAATTAACTAATTAAATAGTTACGCTCAAGACACTACAAGAAAATAGTTCATTTACCACACCAATTTTATCATGGACATTATGTGCCTGTTATAAAAAGTGACCATTTATCACGAACTTGATCATAATGTTGTAGATAACAATGTTTTACAACAGACAAATAATGGCCCGTTATAATAAAATAATTTATTACCACGATCTTAACTAGCACGTTATGAAAATATTAAACCACCACGGGTATTAACCGTGGTCAATATTATTAGTAATCACACCACATTTTTTTATTTAGCACAGACATTAAATGTGGTGCAATTAGGCACACTATTTAAAAATAAAAATAAAATCAGAAGGCGGGACTAGACAATTTTCGAAAATTTCCCAAAATTTGAAATCTTTCAAATTTCGCACTACTGAAAAATAGACGCGAGGAGTTAGTCAAAAAGTTAAAATTAAGCGGTTCCATCCACTCCCGCTGCTCTCCCTCTCCCTTGCTGCAAATAGATAGACCGCCAGCCTCCTTCCGGTGGAAATCGAAACCGTCGTCAAAATCAAAGCCCTCAAAAAGGTTTTTTTTCTTCCCTTTTTGATTGTCATTTTAATTCATGTTTCTGATGCATAAATCCATCAGTTTTCCCTGTAATGCTTTTTCGGAACCCCCAGCAGAGGAAATGCTCTTACTTTCATCTCTCTCCGATCTTTAGGTATTATCGCAATTCCTCTCTCAATTGGTGCTATAGTACTTCTTAAAATTATTAGATTTAGGGTTGGGTAAACTTATTTTAAGGATTTTGATTGTATTCACTTGGATCATGATTGCTTGCCTTTTGTGTAAATGACTTTGTGGATTTGAACTTTTTGTATATGATGTTCTTGAGACATGAGTTTTTGATTTCTAAGCTTTATATTTGCCCTTGTTTATCTCATAGGTGGTTGGTGGTTCAAATTCACGAGGGTTTAAATTTCAATTATCAACTATTACATTTATAAAGTGTGCATTGGTTTGTTGGAGATGTTTGTCCTCTTGAAGAAATGAGTGCAGAGGAAACGAATATTATTAGAGGACCAAATTTGGAACTAGGATTTAAGTTTTGTTTGAGTGTGAGACAATGTCTGTACATGTTTTTGGTACATTCTAGCATAACTCAGTGGTTTGGTATTTCTTACTGTAACTACTCATTTTGTCGTTAGTTTTAGTGTAATATTTGAATATGTGAACTTTTATGAAGTAAATGTGCAGTTTTCTATATAAATATCTTTATATTTAAGTACTTGTTTATTTATTGACTAATTTATTATTATACTTTTTAGTTTTGAGAAAAAATTTATAACGTGCATTGGCCGTAATCAATTTATAATTCACAATGATCATAGCACGTGGTATTAGATCTTGATCTACGACAGGCACAAGTTGTGATTATATTGCATTTGACAATGAACAAGATCTGTGGTAGAAAATGAAATTTTTTATCACATCCAAATTACTAACGGGTACAATGTCTGTGGTAAATTACAATCTATCAAGGACATTAACCCTGATGGATAAGCTTTTTTTCTTCTAGTGAGCATGTTTAATAATTTATTAAGTATTTTATTGGCGCACAGACAAGCCAACGTAACGTCATGCATGTCATCATTGTCATGTCTATATCTAGAATAGTATTCAATCTCAGTCGCAGTAAATGAAGGGACCCTCATTACACATGCGCGGTCGCTCTGGTCCAATTCATGCATGGATGACAACTGATCAGAAGGCGTCTGGTTCACAGAAAAATGAGTTTGGGGACCAGAAATTTAGATTTGGGAAAAAGTTATGCAGCTCGTAAGAAAATTCAGAGAAAAATGAAACCCTTTATTCACCTGAAGTTTCAATAAGTGATCCCGGTTAAGTAGTGCAACCAAACAAGTCCCTTTCTTTCGAACTGATCAAAGGCCACGGGTAATTAAAAACAGGACTCCATGAATTGCAGATATTCTTTTGGAACTTGGAAGTTTCAACAATCATACGTTGGGTTCAACTTGCATGATCATGATTTGTATGTTGTAACTGTGACAAAATGTCAATTTGGTAAATTGTTGAGTCCGTATAAGCATTTAGTAGCAGAGCCAAGATGGGGGCAATGGGATTCCTTGACCCCAATAACCTTGCGCCAACAGCCCCAAACAAGAAGAAGAAGAAGGAGCTGCTGCTCCATTTGTTAGCCATCACTTCATCAGTGCCTTTTCTCCCCTTGCTAAATCTTTGCACCATCGTGAATCTACCGCCTGGCAACCTCCAGATCGTCAGACCCGCGTTTTCGGCCTGCCTTGTCTAGGGCGTCGAATCGGCCAGCACTCCATCGTCGTCACGCGGGGATTTGGATTCTTTGGACTCCTCGATGGTTCCCATACACTTTGCGCGACCCTTCTTTATAGACCTCATTTGTGAGCTTCTATGCCGAGCTTGGTAAGTTGTGCGATGCGCCGTAAGGTGTTTAAGGAAATGTCTGAACCATGTGTGGTTGCGTGGAATGCGATGATTGATGGGTTTGGGAAGAATAAGGATATGGGTCTTGCTGTTTTGCTATTTGAAAGCATGTTGTAAAGGGACGTGGTTTCATGGACAAGCGTTATAAACGGGTTTGGGAGAAATGGGTGTTTTAGTAAGGGAATTCGGTTTTTTCAGATGATGATGAATCATGAGAATGTGATGGGCTGTTTTGTGAAGCCAAATGAAGCTACTTATGTTAATGTGCTTTCTTCCTGTGCTAATCTGGGTGGGTGAGGATTTATTTACTGGGGGAAGCAAATACATAGGCATGGGTCTGAATCCGATGTCATCGAAGCTCTTGCTCTCGTGCCAGACGCCGGTGTCCAGTACTCTAATGATGACGTCATCGGCCGAGGGTAAATTTCTGACCCCATCGTTGTAAATTTTTGGCTCCACCACTTTAAGCATTCAAATAAATACTATGAAAAGTGAGAAGTTAGAATAAAGGGAACTTTAACAAAAAGCTCCCGGTATTGTTCACCTTAACGAAAAATCACATCTTTACACTAAAAAGTCAATACTAGTACTATTCACTTTATCTTTTATTTTGTCCTTATCATTAAAACTCAAAGTTTTCAAGCTATTTTCATTAGTTTTCCTTAGAATAAATTAATTTGTCAAATACTAGCATTAATGGATGTGGAATTGGCTCACGCATGGAATTGACAAAATTTATGATTAGAAAGTGACTCTTATATAACGTGATATCTTGTTTTGTTTTTGGTTCTTTTTCTCCTCATTGGTCGCTCCAAAATGTATTTCTCGATTACAAACATGATAGTCCATTGCTCTCATACATTTCACGAAGGGAATGCAGTTGCTGACAAATTAGCCAATTTAGAGCTTCTTTTGTCTTCACTTGTTTGGCATGCCGCTCCTCCCATAAAGATTTTTTCTTTTCTACATTTAGATTTCTTGTGCATGGCGCATACAAGTTTGTCCCCCCTTCTTGATCTGTAAATTTTCTTTTTTACCTAATATTTTGTTTTACGGCTTGTCTTGTATGTTCTTATCTTTTAGGTTTTATTTTAAAGGGGTTTGACGATTTGGTCCTTTGCCCACCCCTTCTTTTCCTTTGTATTTTCTTTTTCAAGAGAGGTAAAATCTATGTCCCCCTTTTTGTCCCCCTTTTTTTCTTATATTTTATTTTTCAAGAGGGGTAAGGTGTATGTCTCCCTCTTCTTTTTTTGTATTTTGACTTTTTTTTTTGCTTTATGAAAGTAAGGTTTATGTCCCCCTAACTAAGTGTAACTTTTTTTTATATCAACAAATTTCTCTCGTATTGCCGAAGTTTTAAAAAATAAAATAAAAAATGAAATCGATGTTTAATTTGTGCGATTTAGCCAAAATTCTCATCATGAATTATGATAGACTAGAAAATTTTATAAGAGGTTAAATTGTTTGTGCCGCATTGTTGCCACTCCTTCATACTAACTTTTTTTCAATGGAACCAAACTCTTAAACTCTTTTCATACTGGGATGTGAGTGAAAAGAAGGGATAGATCCAATTTATAGTGGATCGGGAGTTGAGTTTCTATCCATGTGTACCAAGTTCAAAATTCCACTCCTCCCCGTAATGAAAGTAGAATTTAAAAAAAAAAAAAAAAAAAAAAACGCACAATCGAATTTCAAATGATTCCATGCAAATATTATGTCATTTAAACAGTCATTTTAAATTCGTTAATTCAATCCAATGTTTTCCAATACAACCTACACCTAGAGAGAACAAAATTATTTCATTAAACAGTCATTTCAAATGATTCCATGCAAATAATTATCTCATCCGATTTTTTTTCAGTACAACCTAAACCCTGGAGAGAACACACACACACACACACACATATATATATATATATGTACAAGAAAATATGGACACAGCAGATCTGCATATGCGTTTACAAAGACTACCGATACATGATGATTGCTACAAGAGAAAAAGAACTTCCACTATGTCTCAAGAGGGCCTTGATTCCGAGATGATTTCCGAGAAGTCGAGGCCAGTCGTAGAGGTAGATTCGAATGCATGGACAGTAAATGAATTTTGCGTATGGCTAATACTCGAGCTATGATCACCCCGCTGGCGGTGGAGGTCTCTCATGGCCTTAAATCTCAAATCCTCCTTATACGTCCTCGGTTCTGGTACCACGTCAGGGACGGGAATTTGTCCTTCAAGCATGCTCACCGCCTCGGACATGCTAGGCCTAAGTGATGCAGAGGCATTTGTGCACAGGAGAGCTACTTTAACCATGATCTCTGCTTCCTTTTGGTCAAACTCGGAACCTAACTTCTCATCGATCAGCTCCAATAAGTTGCCTGTTTGTTGCAAATGACAAGCCTGAAAATGTTCATCGTAGTTTCACGCTGAATCAGTATTAATGATAACAACCAGAAGAATGGATGCGAAAATGGATCAAACAACAAAAGGGTGTGGTAAAGAGTACCCAATCTAAAAGGCAAACCCAATCATCACTCGGAATATAATTGTTGTTGTTCTTCCCACTGATGATTTCCAAGGCCACTACTCCAAAACTGTAAACATCCGCTTTGTAGGTCAGGTGACCCCATAGTGCGTATTCTGGTGCCATATATCCTCTGCAAATCAAGATCTCAAAATGTTGTTACATGAAAAAAATATTCACCAATTTAGCTAGATTTCACTGAAAGTATAACACGAAGTCAATGTAAATAAGGATATGGCAAGTGGCAACTGACATGGTCCCAGCTACTCGGGTGCTTATGTGTGTCTTCTCCTCTTCATCAAGCTTTGCCAATCCAAAGTCAGATATTTTAGGGTTCAAGTCCTCATCAAGCAGCACATTAGTCGCTTTGATGTCTCGGTGAACAATTTTAAGTACTGATTCTTCATGGAGAAAAGCTAGTCCTCTTGCTATCCCAATGCAGATCTTAAGCCTTGTTGCCCAGTTCATTTAAGATGATTTTCTCGGCCTACGAAATTATATCAAAGAAAATAATGCTGACTCAAACTTTCTTTTCATCTATAAATAAATTATGTAAACAGATATATCCGAAAAGAACGCAACTCAAGTAGTCAGGGAGTATAGAAGAAGAAATCTAGAAATCAGTCTAGCGCATCAAAATACAAATAAACAAAAGGCTATAACCATACTTATACAGTTGAATAATTGGCATCATACTCACCGAACAAAGCTCGTGCAAGGTTATTATTCTCCATGTACTCATAGACCAGCAATAACTGACCTCCTTCGATACAACAGCCATGAAGTTTCACCAGATTCGGATGTTGCAAACAAGAAATCATGCCCATCTCATTTAAAAACTCACGATTTCCTTGCCTTGACATGGACGAAAGCTGTTTAACAGCTATCACTCTACCATCAGGCAATTGACCCTGCACCCAATCCATGTTCAGAATTATGTATCTCAATGTAAAAAAGAGAAAATCTTAAAACATCAGGGAAACAATTCAATGTACAGGTTCCTAAAGTACCTTGTAGACAGGACCAAAGCCACCTTCTCCAATTTTGTTATCATAATCGAAGTCGTTAGTGGCGGCTTTTAGTTGTTTTAAAGTAAAACCCCCTGTCTGCCCATCAAGTCCGTCTCTATCTGTCCAAGGAGGCACAGCAGAAAAGCACGTAAAGTATTATTCATCACTATATTTCCTTTCTTAAGCAAACACATCGTCTAATTGTTAGTTTTCTCTTGTGAAAATTATCAATACGAATCACTGAATCTTAGAATGGCACATTTGAAAGATCAAGCACCTTTCTTCCTTCCCCTTTTGCAAGGCAAGTACCCTTTCCACCAAAGGATCCCTAACATCACGAATACTAGGAGAAATGCTCCTACTACGACTCCAGTGACAATGTGAACAGTCCCTTTTTTTCCACCATTTGAGCAATCTCTGGAATCTGCTCAAAGGAATAAATCAACTAGTTAACTGGAATAACATATAAGGAGAAAGGACAAGATATATGTCCAGGTACACGTTAATTTCAGAGGTTGAAATGAACAGAACACTGTCGATATTGAACAAAAGAAACAGTAAACGAAGTTGGAAAATTGAACAAATCAATTGATTCTCATGTTCTAAACTCAGAAAATTTTGTGATAGAAGCTTTTTCTTAGGCATACTTTGCAATTTGGCAAAGAAGAACTCATCAAAACGACTCACCAGATTCCACGGCAATAGCAGATATAAGGGGACCATATATTCCTCTTTCAGGAATCCTTGTTGTACCTTTACCAGCAAAATAGAATCGGATCTCTAAGATATTATTCGTCACACTGACATTGTGTTCTTGTATTACTACAGGCTTTTGAGCCACCTTTGACTCATCTTCAATATTGAAATCCTTCCGCAATACTTCATCCTGAGACAAAGTGCTTCAGTTAAACCTCTTTGTGACTTCAAAACATATACTTGTAACAACATGACCAATTACCTGAACATAGATATCAAAAATGCGCCTTCCAAGACTCGAATATGTTTGGTCATTTGTAAACTGTATCTCCGCAAAGTGAAGAGTTACGGTATAGTCACCATTTTCTAAGCAATAATGGAAATAAGTGATTGAAAGTGGAGATATGCGTGCTGTTGTGTATAATCCAGAGAGATTGGAAGATGCCAGAGATACAGAGTAGCGTGTATTCTGGATATCGTTGTCATCCATGAAGTCTCCAGTGCTACTAAATCCCCAATAAGAAGCATCATTTAAAAAAAAATCTGCAGTGCCACCTTCAACTCCTCCGTCTCCTTCATACAAAATGTTTCCTTTGTTTCCTTCGACAGTGATGTCATTTCCACCACAATTAACATGCAAACAAGTTGAAACTGGCATAATACGTTAAAATAAAAGTACAAGTGAGAGAACATGAAAGAATGCTGGATAGTAACGTACTAAGGATGCAATACAACTATCTACTAACACACAAGAGTGATGAAAACATTAAAGTTTCGAATTATGCAGTGTTCTATGTAAAAAAATTTCAGGCAAAGCGGGTTTCAAACTTCACTGCCAGCATTTTTTTTTTGCTTGAAACACACACTTTACAATCAGAAGAATTTACTTTATTGCGTATATAATCTTAAATATATCCTTACATCGTGGACAGTTGAGATTCTTCAAGCATGGAAGACCTCTCCTTCTGCCATAATTGAGTGGAAAAATATGTTAACATGGAATGTACACCATGCATATATGAACATTTTTGTGATTGCTATAATCAACAACAGAAAGCAAGACAGACAGACAATCTTACAAGTTGTTTTCTCTTGAAGAGCTCCGGAACAAGTTCAGGTTTAGATTGCTAACAATAGGGAAATATGTGAAACAATAATCAGTTTATATCGCTATAAAACCGGCATAAAACATGAATATTTACTAGACAAGTATTCTGACATGTTGTCTTGACAAGCAGGTTTCTCGGGGCCTTGCCATGTGAAGTTATTGTACGAAAGATCACTGCATGCAAGAAATAAATCGTAAGGGTCACTCTGTATCTAGGAAAAAGGTACATAAGCCTAGAAAGATGTTGCTCCATGAGATGCCATTTCCAGACTAGCATCCCCTCTCCGTCAAAGCCAAAAAGAATGAGGAAGATTCAACTAAGAAATGAAAAAAATGGAAACAGGGGACTGGTAGTCTGGTACTGTACATGTATTTTATAGCAAAGCATATTGCAGATTTTGGAAAATAATATACATCAAGGAAAAGGTGAGACTGTAAATCTTCCATATGTGCAATCATCGTAATAATGCTAAACTGGTTAGCTCCAGAGAATGCCAGTGTTAGTACCTACTTAGTAATAATACACTCATGAGAAAGATCTTGGGTACAAAGAGAAGCATGGAAGGTAAATGTAAGTTGCAAATATATCAAAAGAGAGAAAGAAGTAAGATGACGCGTTGAAAATAAGTATCAGACATACATGCTACTTCCATCCTTGAGCACTGAGTCTGGTACACTCCCACTCATAGAGTTGCCAGTTAAAAATCTACAAAAAGCAACATCGAATTTTTGGAGTGTTACATCAATATTAGATTATATAACGAAAGAATAAACAACTAAGCACGCAGCAACCTGAAAATCTAAAGTTTCATTCCCAAAAATATGTATCAGAAGGTTATACTTACAGGAATCTCAAACGCTCTAAGTTCAATGTAGCTGGAATTTGCCCTACTAACTTGTTAAAACTGACATCCCTATAACAATCAGAATACAAAAATATAATCAAACTGCATTCCCAGTCATAAGACAACAGTGCAATCAGTCCCCAACTTCACACACTACTTACAACATTTCCAGGTTTTGCATTGTCCAGACGTATGGAGGAATCTCTCCAGAAATGTTACAGTTTCTCAGAACCCTAAGTTATGTAACTAAATAGCATTAGAAAAACTGGCGTCAAAGGTAAATATAACTAACACCTTCAAGGTAATGGATGATACAAATACGCGACGTACAATCTTTCTAGGCCTGTTGTGTTTTTTAATACTGGAAAACCCTGCTCTGTTCCATTTATATCGCTAATCCTCCTAAGTAGGCACCACAAGAAATAAAAGCAAGTAATTCAATACAACAAAAATAAAAATAACAACTTAAAGCTGCAAAGAAAACTTGAAAATGCGTTTACTCACAACTCTGTTAAGTTGATCAAAAGAGATATGTTGGAAGGGATGGGTCCCTGAAGCCCACTCGCATGCATTTCTCTTCAACGATCCAAAATATACATATTTCACGCATACATGAAACGTTAGAAACAATTAAGTCTGAAGTAATTTGGCTTATCTATAATGATTTAAACGGCAGGTCTGAATTTTTTCAAAAGCAAAAGATCTTACAATCTTTCAAGTTGTTTCCAATTCTGTATAAAATCAGGTATTGTTCCACTGAAGTTGTTATCGTTTATTCTACTGCATTGAACAATAAAATTGTATCAGGTGACACGTAAGCAGGTTTTTAGACATTCAAAAACAAACACACTGAAAAAACATACAAGTCTGTCAAATTTCTTAGCCCAGAAAATGTCATCGGTAAGTTTCCAGTCAAACGATTGGAGGACAACATCCTGCAATTCCAATGCCAAAGCAATGAACCATCAATTTTCACCTATCTTTCATCCTTCAAAAAGTGTTAACAGTGTACCAAAAAATATATAAAGAACCAAATTTTTCTAAAAGGAAAATTGCATTACATAGTTCCCAAGTTGATTAAACTTCCAAGCTCATGGGGAACAACTCCGGAGAATTGATTTGCTTCAAGAACCCTGATTGTCAAAAAAGAAGGAATATTGAGATTGGAAACAGCAAGCCAGAATCACTTTCATTGACTGCAAGAAATTCCAATATGGAGGGAAAAAAAGGGTTTCACAAAGGATGCTAATAGAAAAGCTTCTGCAGCTTTTGAAGTAATAGCAGAATGTAATCCAGGGAGACGGGATGGAGACCCTGACAATCTTAGTTACAATAAGTCCATGATAAAAAAAATAATATACTGAGAAAAACGAAAAATCTAAGCTTACAGGGATGTAAGAGTAGTAATATTTCCCAACTCCTTCGGAATCTCCCCTGACAAGCGATTCACAAGAAGAGAGCTGCATAGAATTTCTATTTAATTTACAACAAGAAGTATGAAATCAAAATACAATCACAAAAATTGACAAGAGGCTCACATTGAAGTTAACTGCATTGCACCCCATTCTTTTGGTATAGTACCATTTAGATAATTGAGAGCAAAATCACTACACAAAGAGGAAGAAAAAGAAAATGAAGTGATACTCATAGTCGCTAGAAATAAAGGTCACAGATAGAACAAAGTCATTAGACATAGTCACATTACTTTTGAACTTTACAAAATGCTCTTACATTTGTTTAAGGTAAGGAAGTTTGACAAGTTGCGGGGGAAGCATGCCGGGTAGACTATAACCCTTGAGTACTCTGTCAGATTCAAAATTTTGAAATCGAGTATTATGCAGAGTACAATGTTATTAAGAAAGCAGAAGAATCATAAAGGACTTGCTTGCAAATGAATGATTAGTGGTCTTCATTTAGAGTTATTCTCCTTCTGTGAAAAACCCTTCCTTTAGACGGAAATACCTGGGCAAACTACACGAACCTCCGAGACATTGAGGTCAAGAACATCAAGCTTATTACCATCGCCAAGTTTAACATTAGGTGGAAAACTGAGAACATCTATCCCTCCAGCAACAGAACTTCTTCTAGCACCTATTAGACATGGACGGCCAAAAGTAAGTTCTAGCACTGCAAGGAGGATTCTTGTTTTTCACCTAACCCCATCGGAGGTCAGTATGGTTTACCCGAAAATATAGAAACAAGTATAAAAACTTTCTTCATTTATTTTCCTTTTCTTGATTCCGAGTAAATTATTACAAAATATACCAACCTCTATCATTCAACGATATATAATTATGTAAATGAAATCAAGATAAATTTATAATCATGTAAGAAATATTCAGTAATAAGATGAGGGAACTATACATTTCTGTGACATGACAGACAGTGTTGTTGCATTCACAACCAATACTGCTCTCAGCTCCTTTTGGTGGCTCTTCTGTTACCCCAACAGATTCAATCTCGCAAGAATCGCCATTAAACTTCCAATAATTTGCACCCATCGTTTTAGTTATTTCTTGGAGAGCATCAACTATCCACAATTATAAGGAACCATCACATACAGATATAAATATTAAAGAAATTTCTTGTATTCACAGATGACAAATAATTTACTGATGAACTAGCTCCTTTTCGGAAAAAAGTAATATTTAGCATTTGAACATCACATTTAAGAAAAACAAACTACACCCACAACAATTTAAGTTCCAATTACCCATTTTGGTCACTGAGAAAATCTAAGAACAAAATTTAAGAAAAATTGTTGATTCTTATTATTACAAGATAACAAAACCCAGGTTTTAAAATTTCAGAGGGCAACTTCCAAAGATTCGAACTTTTCATCTCCCCGCACATGTTGGCACCAGCCTAATTGAAGTTCAAAGCAATAGAGTAAGAAATTATCTCTTACTTTCATCCTGGGGCACCACAGACTCACAAAATCTCAGCAAGCTGAAGCTGCAGCTGAAAACAATGACCAGCAGAGCAGAGAAGCTGCTGCTCTTGGGCAGCATAGTGAAGAAGATTGAAGATGTGGGACGCTATTCCTTGTCCTCCTGCCCTCTGAAAGATGTGGGACGAGAGTCCTGGCCTCTGAAAGATTTGTGACAATATAGTACTGTACAGTGATGCCTGTGGTATCTTCTTTAAGATTGGAAAGCCGGTAACTTTGGAGTTTGAACACGTCGTGGGGTCAGCCAATGCATGTAGTGTGACAGAATGGAATGCTTTCAAGTTTCAACGTATGACCCTGCAAAGCAAAAGAAAACCCTTTGAACTTCTTTGAAAACTCAAAGAGCGTAAGTATCGAACCGATTGGATTATTATGGCAGTATTTTTTGCTCATCACCATAAATTATTATGGATGTTCATTATCCTATTTATCAATGTTAGATGAGCTTGAGTTTCGAAATTTGTATAGTAGATAGATACAGATCTCAAAATTCAAATTCATCTAACGGTAATAAATAGGATGATGAGCATTATCCCATTTGAGGATGGTGAGCAATTCATTAAAATTTAATTATTTCTCTGTTAATACATGACATTCATTATTTTCTCTTCTAATAAGTTTTACCTGTGAGAGACTCTCTTTAGTATTTCTATTAAATATTAATTTGGTATGTACGGTTTAAAGAAAGAAAAATTAATGAAAAAAATTTGAAAATTTTGAGTTTTAACAATAAGAATAAAATAAAAAATAAAATAAATAGTAACATAATTAATTTTTTAATATAAAAATATAATTTTTCATTAAATAAACAGAATTAAAAGTTTTTCGTTAAAATATCTTTTAATGAATCGTGTAAAGATCTCAGCCAATTGAAAGTTCATGACGAGATATAAATATCTTTTAATGAATCGTGTAAAGATCTCAGTCAATTACATCCCCCGATCTTTCTTGGACAAGTAGGAAACGACCTCGTTGTCGCCATGGGTTGGGCCATGTCACATTTGTCAACATGCAGTCAAAAGCATTTTTTAGACTTGTTTAATTGAAGAGATTTTTTAGTGTGATCGGAACACAGAATGATAAACCACATGTCACTATACAAATAATGAAATATGTGTGTTAAAAATTTAATAACATAAATATTAAAAGTTTCCACTACTTATATAAAAATATGTGATATATTACTCGTGTTTCGATCACAATAAAAAATTTATCTTGTTTTTCCAAGTTCTGACTTCTTAATATCTTTTAACACCATTTTTTTACCCATTTTTCATATGCACGTGTCATTGAAACAACGTTTGTATTTCTTGGACTAAAAATTCCAAACAAAGTTTAATGGATGCATGGCGGCTTAAACCCTCGGAGACTAATCAACCTAGAGTACGTGGAATCACTAGTTTAAGGCCTAATTTTTGTTAAATCGGATTCAAATATGGACAATGACATATATTATGGATCGAGGTTGCTTTTGACTGCTTTAATTAGTAATTGATAGGGCTGGAAAAAAATCTCAAAAATTCTGAACCATACCAAAAAAATCTCGAACTGAAAATCCTGAAAATTTTGGTACCAATTCTAAACCGTTCGGCATGGGAATCGGTTTCACATTTTCCTATTTTCGGAAATCCCAAACCGATGTATACATATATGTATATATATATATATATATTTTTTTTTTTTTAATCAACCCACCAAGCTGTTCCTCCGGCCAATAACTTTTGTTCGATACCTTTTCCTTTTTTTATTATTTCTGTCTCATTGTCTGCCATCTGATTTCTTATTTCTTGAAACCCTCATGGTTTCTTCTTTCTTTATTCTTATTTCTTAAAACCATCACATAAGAAACCATCGAAACCAGCAAATGGTTTCTTCTTTCTTTTATTTCTTGAAACTAATAACCCTCTTTCTCTCTCTCCTTCTACAGTTCCACCGACTCCCTCAAATGCAGAAGCAAGTCCAAGGTCTCCAAATGCTTTCTCAATCTTCAAAAGCAGCCACACCCGCAACCTGCTTTCCCAAAACACCATACCCATTGCAGCCTTTCGTTTGAGGAACCCAATCGTTCTTCCATGACATCAGATCCATCGCTGCAAGCCTGCCCTCTGATGGTGATTTCGTTTGGCAAGACATGGAAAAGCTCACACATCGATGATGATCAGTACCTCATTCTGTTCGATGCACTTCGCAAAGCCCTCCGAACTCCCGAAGGCAGCAAAGACAAGCCCAGGAATGAGAGAGATGGAGATGGGGGTGGGGAGGTCAGACGAATCTGGGATGAGGTGTGGCTGTGTGGGCTGGCAGGGAAGGTGGGAGGTTGATGAATCCCGAACCATACTGAAATCCTGAAAAAATTTCGGGAATCCTGAAATTCGGGAATACCGAAATTTCGGTTTGGTTTTGGTTTCCAAAACCTTGTCCTGAAAAAAATCGGTTTGGAATGAAGGATCCCATTTTCGATTTGGGATCTCATACCGAACCAGCCTAGTAATTGGTGTGGAGTCTGTGAACCTGCGAACCAGAAATTGATTAAAAAATAAAAAAGGGGCTATAAGCGGTGATAAGCTTCCTCTCATCTCTTTATTCTCTCTTTCCTCTAATTCATTTTGCTGTAAACAGAGACTTTCCATAAGTCATATTTCAAATCAATACATTCCGTCTCTTTTTTACAAAATTAATATAATTTCAAGAATTTAAAACGAATCTTGAGTTTAACGGGCATGCAGTATGAAAATAGAGAATGAATTATGAACGAGCTAAGCTTGGGCTAGCAGCCGGCAGCCACCCAGCCAGCAAGATCTCAAATGTAGTTAAAACACTAGAAAAACTAATGCAAATGGTTTGAAAATTTTGAATTTTAACTATAAGGGTAAAATAAAGGGTAAAGTGAATAATATCAAAATTGATTTTTTAAAGTAAAAATATAATTTTTCGTTAAAGTAAACAGTAACATAAGTTTTTCGTTAAACCCCTTTAAAATATTCCATCCAAGTTCCGATGCAAAGTATCCAAATCACTGTTTCTTCACGTCTGACAAACTACGTAAGGAAACAATTCCTTAAAACTTCCAAATATGATAAATACCGTGACTTAGACCATCTCCAATTTTTAAGTTAAAACCTAAAATTTTTAACCTATAAAATTTAGATTTTAACCTAAAAATAGTTTTTCTTATCCAACTCTTTTGGGTTAAATATTAGCTCTAGATTATTAAAAAATAAATTTATGATAATTTCTTTCTTAAAGTAACTTTGTAAAAAAATTAAAAAAAATTATGTAAACTATCGTAATTTAATTTTATGAACATTTTAACCCAAAAATATTTTGATTCCGATAAATATTAAAAAATCACTAAACCAACACCATGAAACTCGCGGAATACTACGAAAGAATATGAAACACATAAAATAAATTTTTTTAATTATTTTAGCCATTGGATTTAAATTTGGACGGTTATATATATATTTTTACCATTTGATTTAATCAAATTAGATCTTAATTGTTGGATTCAATTAATTTATAAATATACAACTAAAAAAATATACACACATGGTGGGCTAACTTTGCTCCATAAATGAGTTTTAAAATTTAACTTATATTTGGCCCAAGGGTTAGAGCAAGTTGAAATAAGTTTAGAACCTAAAATTTAAGTTTTACTCCAAATATTGAAGTTGATCTTATATGTATCTGTCACACCTAATAAATTAGTTTAACTTCAAACTTGGAAGGATGAAGACATTGGACTTTAACCAGGCTACTGGCGGAGGCCATTATGTCTCTGGGTACACAATGGGGATCAAGCCCAAAGGAAAGAGCGGATTCTGTCATTCGTAGAGTATCCTTACGTAAATATAAGACTCCTCGTATTTTGCTTTCATTTGACCTTAAAGTCTCACTCGAAGCCTGTTTATATTTATATGAAATAAGAGAAGTCATGGATGAGAATGAGGTATACTCGTTGTCCAAGTCTATGACGTAAACCCACATTATTGATCTCATACCTAAATGCTCGAGTATGACGTATTAGCTAATTTCAACTTGAAAACCAATTTTTCATTCCTTATGTCTCAGTAAAAGCCTGATATATTAAGAATGAGAATAATACTGATACCTTGCATACCGCTTTCTTACAAATACACATACCATCGGTATGAGAGCTATCCTAGGCACAGAAGCCTTCCAAATATTTAATATTTTTCTTAAGGAAGAGCATGTGTATTTGCTACAGAAACTCTAAAAAATTAGTAAGATAAAATTACAACAGGACAGAGAGCTAGCTAGACTGCTACTATATATGATGTCGTCAGGATTTTGATTCAAATTTGATTGAACTCGGTTCATGGCCTCATGTAGAGGAAGAGTAAGGTGTGTAAGAAGTTACCAAACTCTCGGGTTGGCTTCCACTTGAACTTTGTGTTTGGCTTTGATGATGTCCACCTCTCACGGCCTTGAGCCTCCAATCTTCAGTATAATTTATCGCTTCTTGCTTTGTGTCCGGGACTGTTGTTCGTCCTTCAAGCATGCTCACCACCTCGGACATGGTAGGCCTCAGTGACGGAGAAACATTCGTACACAGCAAACCGACCTTAATCATTACTTCTGCTTCTTTGTAATTGACTTCACTCCCTAAGCTCACATCTATCAGCTCCTTCAAGTTTCCACTTTGTTGCAACTGATAGGCCTGCATGCAACCACGGAAATTTCGCTTTATCGAAATGTTGCTTACTGATTAACATAAAATTGTCAGAAAACCCACAAATTGTGCAGTAGCTCGAGAGATTGAAAGCTGTATAGTACCCAGTCTAGGAGACAGACACAAGTGTTACTTGGTACATAACTGTTCTTCTTCCCACTGGCAATCTCCAATGCAACAACTCCAAAACTGTAAACATCTGCCATGTAGGTCAAGTGACCCCATAGCGCATATTCTGGTGCCATATATCCTCTGCAAATTAAGATTGTCCCCATAATTTGTCACTTTCCAATTAAAACTATAAAACATACATATATATGTAAACGTGCGTCGAAAGAAAATGTTATGACAACTGACATGGTTCCTGCAACTTTGGTGCTGACATGTGTGCTCTCTTCACCGTAAAGTTTAGCCAATCCAAAGTCCGATATTTTAGGGTTCAAATCCCCATCCAGCAGCACATTGGTAGCTTTTATGTCCCTGTGAACAATCTTGAGTCTTGATTCTTCATGCAGAAAAGCTAAACCTCTGGCTATCCCGGTACAAATCTTAAGCCGTGTAGGCCAGTCGAGTTTAACTCGGATCTCCGGGTCTATTTATCATACAACCAAAAATACTTCTTAGTGT